AGAAAGAGTAGCATCTGGGGTCTAATAGGCTTGTCTTAAAACAAGCAGCCATCTAACTAAGGCATCAACTAAGTCCACATAGAAGAAGTATCCCAGTCTGTGTAATCCAATGATTGTAGAATGACAAAATCCAAATTTGAAGGAGAGAATGGTACAGAGATTAAATTGTAACTGGATTAATGAATTCTTGGGGGGTATGGCAGGGGAGGTGTCGGGAGAATAGGGAGATATTAGCAATGAGTACAAGAAAGAAGAATATGTTCTAAAATTGATTGCACAACTCTTCTTGAAGTGGTTGAACTATTGAATTGTATGATATATGGATTGTGTGCCAATTAAACGGTTTTAAAAGAACAGGTATTAAAGATTTCTGCTCTTCAATGTGAAAGTTAGACATTGAATAAAGACAAAAGAAGAATTGGTGCGTTTGAATTATGGTGCTGGAGAAGAATACTGAAAGTACCATGGACTGAACTCTTTTGCCTGCCGGCCTGTACCCCACCAGCCCAGCCGTGCCCGCCATCCTCACCCTGCCACGTGCCAACTGCTCTACAGCCCAGAATGCTTCTGAGGAGCCGGGCAGCCGCTCTTACTTCTCTTGAAGACAGCCCCTTGGTGAGCTGCCTGGCCCTCTACGATATTGCTCACACCCCTGGAGTCCCCGCTGACCTGGGCCACGTGGAGACCAGAGCCCATGTGAAAAGCTACCTCAGACCCGAGCAGCTGCCCGACTGCTTGAAAGGTTTCGATGTGGTGGTCATCCCAGCAGGAGTCCCAAGAAAATCAGGCCTGATTCGACATAACCTGTTCATCCCCAACGCCACGATGGTGGTCACCCGGGCAGCCGCCTGTGCCAGCATTATCCCGAAACCATGATCTGCATCACTGCCAATCCAGTCACCCCCACCATCCCCATCACTGCGGAGGTGTTTAAGAACCGCGGCATGGTCAGCCTCAGTAAAATCTTCGGCGTGATCACTCTGCACACCATCAAGGCCAATACTTTGGTAGCGGAGCTGAATTCAGGGTTTGGATCCTGCTCGAGTATCAGGGATGTCATTGGTGGTCAGTGGAGAAGACCATCATCCCCCTGATCTCCCAGTGGACGTCCAAGGTCGAGTTCACCCAGCACCAGCTGACAGCCCTCGCAGGGAGCATCCAGAAGGCTGGCACCATGGGGGTGGCCAATATGAAAGCTGGGGCAGGCTCTGCCACCTTGTCCATGGCCCACGCAGGCTCCCACTTCATCACTTCCCACTTCCCCACTGGGGACGCGTTTAAGCGGAAAGGAGGGAGCTATCAAGTGCTTCTTTGGGAAGTCCCAGGAAACCGACTGCACCCATTTCTCCACGCTGTTGAGGCCGGGCGGGGGTGGGTGGGGGTGGGCCGGACGGAATGGGCTGGAGAAGAACGTGGGCATTGGCAAGGGGTCTGTCCTCAGTCGAAGAAAAGATGATTGCTCAAGTCGTCGCCAAGATGAAAGCCTCTATCAAGGGGGAGGAGGATCGTGTCCCTGTAAAGTCATTTCAGAGACCTTTGCCAGTTTGGTTTTCCAACTTGCCCTGTACGTGTTACCATCCCTTCCAAACTGGCACAGGAATAAAAGCCATCTTTGATTTTCTTTTCAAAAATGAAGAAGCAAGTACACCACGGACTGCCAAAAGGACAAACGGATGTCTTGGAAGAAGTAGGACCAGAGAGCTCCTTAGAGGCAGGGATGGCAAGACTTCATCTTACTTACTTCGGGACACATTGTCAGGAGAGACAATTCTTTAGGGACTCCTAAAGAATGAAGTAATGTTTGGTAAGGTGGGGGCGGGGGGAGGGGGGGGGTGTTCGTGTAGAGGAAGCCCCTCAAGGAAATGGATTGTCACCGTCACTGCAACAACAGGCTCAACATGGGAATGATTGTGAGGACAGGGCAGGACCAGGCAGTGTTTCATTCCTTCTCCATAAGGTTCCTATGGGTCAAAACCGACTAGATGGCACCTATCACCAACAGCCCTTCAATCTCTCACATTCCCACCATGGCTATAGGGCCCATTCCCGGTGTCCATGCCTTCTTACCTCCAGGCTTCCAAGGTCCATCCTCAAGTCTCACTTTAGCCCACTCTCTAGACTTCTCAGTTCCAAATTCCTGAAAAGGGAACCTATTTGTTTGGTCCTTTTGTGGAGTGGGCCTCTTTGGTATCTTTTGTGGAGTGGGCTTCTCTTTAGTCACACACAAGCTCAGGAAAGACCCTCTGTAATCCCTCCCTCCAGCCCTCCTCATCCACTGCCCTGTCTCTAGGCAACCTGTTTCAGAACCGTGACACCTGGTGTCAGCTCTTTTGCCCCAGTTATTGCAGAATAGAGCTCGCCATTTTATCTCTGTGATCCGTCTGAAATCTCTGAGACATCCACAGCTACCTGGGGCACAGAGAGTGACAGGGATGCAACATACATGATCTGGTTCATGGCTCCAGCGAGAAAGGAAGCCTGAGACTGCACAAAATCTGTAACAGTTTCTTACACCACAGAAAGTACAAGTTGACAGAGGATGGCATTCTGTTCGCATCAAACTCTCCCTTCCTTTCTCTAAGGTGGAGAACCTGGAAAAGTCCTCTGATGACCATGGAGAAAAGAAAGGAGATGGAAGGGGATCCACAGTGAGATCAGAGGACTCATTTGTCCAAGAGAGGAGGGAGAGTTATAGGGTCACTGTCAGCAATGCAACAATACAAAGCCCACCTTGAAGAGTTTGAGCAGTTTTTTAAAGTTTCAAGAAATACACTGTATCTATACATACATAGATTTGTAAAGCTTAGTATTTTTGACATATATAAGGATAAGTCAAAGGTATTGCTACCAAAGCACAGAAACATTTATTAAACCAAAATATCAAAATGTGAGGCTATTGTCTCTCAACATATCCTCCACTGCAGTGCTTCCATCTCTTTAACCCTTCCCCTAAGGAATTTTTCACATGTCAAATTACACAACATCAAAACAGCAGCTTTGGCAGCTTTGAGGTACTCAAATCATACACCTTTTAATGTTCTTTGAGTTTGGGACCCAAAAAGAAATCTGAGAAAGCAAGATCAGGGTTGTATGAAAGATGGTGTTAGGTTTACCTACACAATTCTCATAGGACAACCCTCGTGACTCTCAAAGGATGGGCAGGCAGGTTGTAGTGATGGAAAACTCTCTCTTGGTGCAACTCTCCGGGCCATATTCTCACCAATGAAGTTTTCGCTTTGCTAAAAACGTCTTCCTATGAGGCCCTCATAATCACTGTGTGCTGTGCCCTTAGAGAAAATCGATCACTATTACCCCTTGGGAATCCCCAAAAGACAGTTACATAACCTTCTGAACTGACCCTGAATTGAATTTGCTCAACAGATATTCTCAGAAGCCACTATTTTGATGGGATCTTTTTTTGAAAGCTCCCAAATGAAATTAACACAAGTATATTACTTAAAAAACTTGTTTAGAGCCATTCACTGATTTCAGAGATATAGTTAAACACTTTTTGTCTGGAAAAGTCATACATAAATGAAGTGAAACCCTAGTAGTAATATTTTTAGACTTATCTTCACATAGTCCTAAAAAACCAATAATTACTATAATCAAGACAATGAACAGACCTATCACCTTCACATTTCCTTGTGATGCTTTGTCCTATTTTCCTCCACTTCTTCCCCCTATCTTCCATTCCATGCCATTACCTCCTCACAACTGATGTTTTGTGTCACTGTAGTTTACATTTCCTGGGATTTTTAATTTAAAGGATAATATAGAATGTACTTGGTTTTCTCTGGCTTTTTCACTCAGCACAATTATTCTGAGATTTGCCCGTGTTGCTGTGTACATCAGCAGTTCATTCTTACTAATTGCTGAGCAGTATCGCATTGCACAGACAGACTGTGATGTGTTCCTCCACTCACCTGTTGCCACACATTTGGTTTCTTTTCAGTTTAGACTATTTTCTATGGAACAACTGGACCATATGATAAATGTATGTTTGAGCATGGTGGTTTGGGTGTCACTGTCATGTGGATGTCACAGTGTCCATGTTGTGTGTATTTAATCTACAAGGTAAGGGCACACACAGATCACATGGAAACCAATGACACATATATGATGGTCATATTAGTCTGAAGCTGGCTTCATCCCAGATCTCCCAAACAATTGATCCCATAAGGGAAGAAAAGCCAGGATGAACTTTGAATTTGTAAAATGCTCAATTCACAGTCTCCTGAAAGCATTGAAACTTCAGAACTGGCTCATAAAGAGGGTTAGCATGCACTGGTACAGACTCTGGAACAAAATAATTGTGGACATCACTGAAGGCTTCAGTGAAAACTAGAGCACAAGCTCCTAGTAAATCACACATTCAGCATCACCTGGGAACTGATAGAAACACACATTCTCCTCGCTCCCAGATTTACAACGTACAAGGTCTAAGGGTGAGGTCAGCAACCTGGGCTTTCACCAACTTTCCAGGTGATTCTGATGTCTGCTCAAGTTCAGAAACTACTAACCTGAGTCCTTCAATTCCCCTGGATTCTAAAATACACCCTTCAGAAGACACGATACACTGAGGGCAACATTCTCTCTCCTGCCTGTATTCCACATGCACTCTGTCCTGCCACCCTCTCCATCACATCTTTTGATCAAAACACAAACTTATCATTAAAAAATAATTAGAAACTCAATCACAGAAGTTTTAAAAAACTAACTTTCATGATCATACAAATCTCTACATGTGGCTTTCATTTTCCCAGATTGCAGCACAAAACAGCTAAGAAAAGAAAAGAAGACAACTTTTTGACGATGAACTGCAAAAGTTTTTACTGCTCTATAACCCTCACTGCAAATGTACACAGTATCAGGAAACGGAAGCAAACTTAAATAGGAATAATTTGAGTAAAAGTATTCGATTTTTTGAGTTTTAATCTTCAGTTAAGCATGACTTCCATTCCACCTTAAAGTTGGGGGAAAGTTCTAATTTCCTTGGTAGTTTTGTATGCTCAAAGTTTAATCCAGTCTTTGAAAACTTTTTCCAGCTTCTGGCCAAGCAGCACTTTGCCACTCACTTTGAATTTGCCAGCAAGGAATGCCCTCTGAGGATTCAGTCTGCCCCAAACCAACTCCATAAAGATGGGCTCTGGAATGGTGAAGACCGTGTCTGCTGGGAGCCTTGCCGATCCTGGATACATGTCCCCCTGCCCATTCTTTAGGTCGACGGTCCATTGCAGAATGGTCTTTCCATCTTTGGTGATATCCAGCTGAAAGATGGCATTGACTTTCTTCACCAGTTGGGCCCCCACTTCTTTGATGTGACGACTAATGTCCTTGAACACTGGAAAGCTCTGAAATTCTGACAACTCTAGGGGATGTGACGCAGCAGACTCGGGAGCTGAATTCAATGTCTCGAATTGACCTACCTGAGGTCCATCCCCTGCTTTGATTTTAGGTTGATGGTCAATTCTCTTCCACATCTTATTGTACTTGTCCTCTTCCACCTGCCATCTAGTTTGTGAGCAGCTGTGGTCAACTTAATATCCAAAGTCAGATTGTGACATCAAAAATCAGGCACTAGCAGGCCTTGGGGCGTGTGTGTATGTCCTACAGGCTCATTGGGCAGACAAGAGCTAAAATGTGACACGGTGCAGGGTCTCAGATAACTCATTGTGAGGCAGATCCACATGGCACCCCAAGACTTTCAGGGTTTGTTGGTGCTGCCACAACCCCAAGAAGGTATAGACCCACAATGAGCACAGGCCAAATTGATCCCGGGCATTCTTTGGTGACTTGAGCTCTGTCTTCCCAATGCTTGTATCTTCCAGGGAGCAATCCTAAGCAAGCAAAAAATTCATTCTAATTCCTTTACATAACATACATGAGATAAATCTGTAAAATCTATAGAAAACATGAACATCTTAATAAGAAAAATATGAATACCCAATTAAAAAGGCAAAAGACATGAGCAGATAGTTAACCAAAGATGACATCCAAATGGCCAACAAACATGAAGAAATAGTCATGATCACTAGTCATCCAGGAGATACAAATCAAAGCTACATGAAATACCGCCTAACGCTGACTGTGATTGCCAAGGTAAAAAACAAACAAACAAACAGAAAATAACAAATGCTGGAGAGGCTGTGAAGATGTAAAACCACTGTGGAAATCAACACAGTGTTCCCTCAAACAGCGCAGAGTATAAATTCCATATGAGCCTGCCATCTGATTGCTAAGGAAGTAAGTCATAACACACAAAGACAAGGCACCTCCGTGCTCACTGTTACACTGCTCACAGTAGCAAGAAGATGGAAACTACCTAAATGCCAAAGTAGAAGAAAGGATCAATATTTTGGTATGTACACACAATGAATACTATATGTTGTTAAAAAACAAAAAAAAATTTTTTAAATAGTGACAAAACCACCAAGAACCTCATGAAATAGATGCACCTGAAGAACATTATGCTGAATGAAGTTAGCCAATCACAAGAGGACAAATATTATTTTTAAAAAACCTCTGTTATAAGGGTAAAAAAAATAAAAACCAAGATAATAACTTTCATATCAAAGTGAACAGACTCTGGAGTTTGAAAAAAAAGAAAGGGGAAATGAGGGTGGAGGGTGGCTAGATGGTCAACACATACCGACCTGGATATAGTGGAAGATGGTGACCCGCAGGAGGGAAAAAAGAAATCAATGAGATGAGGGCGAAAAACAGCTGTACCAAGAGCGATGTACTGTTGGTTGGCCAACAAACAAGGTCTTGGTACATCAATACACTGTGTGCTGAATTAAGACACGTATTATCCCAGCAACCCCGTGACGCTCATACTGTTATATTCTGCTCATGCTCATTTACATTAGAGTGTCTCAGAGATGCATCACCATTGGGGCTCACCCTCTTGAAGCTGTGTTATTTGTTTCATTATTTTTCAGTAAATGAAACCCAGGGATGTTGAGCCTACAGGGAAAGAAAATATAATGAGGGTTTGGGTAAGAGGCATATACAGGGGTGGGGGAGACAAGAAGGAGATGATGTCAAAAATTCCAGGAAGGAAAGTATATTTTGGAAAACACGTCTGATTATGGAAGAAACTGCACAATTATGCTTGAGATAATTGAACCACGGAATGATATGACATATGTATTGGCTCCCAACTTACAGCAAATTAATTTAAAATAAATAATAAATAAAATAAAGGCATAAATCCAGGAATGGTTTTTGGGACTCTCATTAAATCCTAGTCCCAATTTAAGAGCAATAAGTCCTTACATGATGGCCCTACTCCATACTCAGCTTCATGAAGTGATCACTGAAGATAAGGGTGCTACATCAAAGTGTGGTGAAGAAAGCCGATGATGGCCAGCTATCACTTGGAATAGTGTCTGGGCTCTTAAAGGCTTGTATTCAAACAAGAAACCATCCAAGTGAGGAGTCAACTAAGTTCATACAGAAGAAGTACACCAGCTTATGTGACCCAAAGATGACAATTACAAAACTCAAATATGGCGAAGAGAAAATCATCCAAGCAAAAAATTATAGACACCACTTTATGGAGTGCTATGGCGGACAGTGAGAGCCCAAAACACATCTGCAGAGTATCCA